GGTTCGCACCTTGGGGAGTAAAGTTAAATAAAGGGGGTAGAGGTCTCCCATTTGGCAAGCATGTGTTTGGGTCCTTTAAAGCATCAAAGAATGGGTGTGCACAAGCCTCCAACTGCAAACAAAAAAAATGAATTCCCATGAAACACTAATTTGGTCATCCACTTGTGCAATTTAGACCCGTTTTAGTGCCTACGCACATTTCATTCCGTTTTAAAATAGTATTCTGTCAAATGAGAGCTGAATTTTGTTCATTTTACATGCTTGAGTCCTAAGTTGCACCTAAATTTGGTGAACGGGTGAAAATGCCCCCGAAATATTTAAAGCCAATTACGTGTGAGGACTAAATTGAGTCCACATTGCATTGTCACAAACCAAATTTAGTTAAAACGAAAAACGTCAAGGGAACTAAGTTAGCGGTATCTGCTCTTCAAAACAAGAAAAGAAAATGATCAACTCACAGCAGTACAGCGCAGTGTGGGTGAGTACTGTAGCAGTCTGGAAACTAGATCAACTGCCTCGGGTGGCATTCTTTTATGGAAAACCTGAAAAATAAGGAGCATTTGCTATTCAAACCTCTTTTCTTCATTTCTCGTTTCTGGTGTTTCACATGTGGCCGTTTAAGGTGAAAATGTGAGAATAGAACTAGTTAGCCAAGAATTTGAGGGAATAAGATGAAAATGAACCTTGTGCCAGGGATGAGCTTTGATCTGAGGAAACTTGAATTCTGTGTAGTTTGGATTCATGCACCTAATCTCCTCCCTGGTTGGTGTCCCTAGGATCTGATTACATAAACTAAGACACTTATTAGCTAGAACTCAAAGTTAAATTGCATGAAAAATGATCTAATTGACACACATACCTTAATGATCTCAACTAGTTGATCAACCCCACTTTCACCAGGAAATAAAGGCTGCATAAAATGCAACAGTCAATGTCAGATGAAGAGGTTATATTGTCAACTAAGAGGCCCTTTGGTAAAACCTTCTTTTGGCTTATCAAATATCAGATATGCCAACCATCTTATGGCTGATATTATCGAAACTAAAGAAATTGACTTTTCAACCTTGTATATTTTATACTCCGTTGTATTTCCTTTAATTCAATTAAAAAGTACAGATTATATATTGAACAATTCTTTTAAATGATTAAGCACATTCAGCCAATTTAACAACAACTTAACATATGCAGCTGATTCAGCCACTTGAGCCTAGCCTAGCTGCCTAGGGCATGATTATTTGTATAATAAAGTGATGGGACAATGTAAAATCTCTGCACTGATCATTCCATAAATCGAGCAAACGAGAAAGAAAGTAATAAAAAAACACACATTTCCAAGAAGTAGTTCAGCCATAACGCAACCGGCAGACCACATATCAATTGCAGTAGTATACTCTGTTGCTCCAAAGATCAATTCTGGTGCTCTATAGTAGCGAGAACAAATATATGATATATTTGGCTCCCCAGGCACCTTCAATACAAACCGTTAAAAGTTCAGTGTTTCAGTAATAACTCATAAACAACAAAGGGTATCACATTCCAACCCATTAGAGATGTCACTTACCAACATCTTTGCACTCCCAAAATCACAAATCTTTAGCTGGTGAGTATGAGGATCAACCTTCAAGTTTACATAACATTCCAATTTCAATTCAAAAGAATGGCATTGTGGTAAAAGAAAGAGAAGTTAACATAGAGTTACTATTACAAATCGGAGGAAAAAATACAAACCAATAAATTTTGTGGTTTGATATCGCGGTGGCACACACCAATCACATTATGAATGTAATTTAAAGCACGGCAAATCTGGAAGAAGAAAAGAAGAAAAGAGAAACCAGATAAATTCAAAAGATCTAAACTACTTAAAGAAGGAACAAAAAATAGACCAGACAGTAACATAGCTCACCTGGTATGTATAGAGTTGGACATATAGAACAGGTATGTGTTGATTCATTCTATTATAGTGTCTAGACACCCGGTGAACAGTTTCAGGCACGTACTCCAAGACAAGGTTAAGGTACACATCATTATTCTCAGTTGTTGAATGAAAACAATGCTTTAATTGAACAACATTGGGATGCTGAAGCATGCGTATGATCTGGAGTTCCCTGTTCTTGTATCTTCTGTCCTGCAGCACCTTTTTAATTGCAACAGCTTCACCAGTTTCAAGGCATTTCGCCTAAGATTTGAATAAAAGAAGGAAGAATTAAGTTAATGCATACATATAGGAGCACACATGCATTGGGATGCTCAAGCATGCATATGGCATTTTGTTTGGAACAAGCACGATAAGTAGCTTTTTACATACTTATTTGATTGAGATGAATTTTACCAAAAGGATCCCATTACTATACCTGGAAAACAACTCCAAATGAACCAGTGCCAACCACACGCTCCGCCATATAGGACAATGCCTACAACCAAAAGGGAAATGGAAGAAAAATAACTCATTGATTAGCAAGAGTTCATTGTCACCATCACATGAAAGCATGAAGTAAAGTTTGCAAATGTTCACTTGTTTCTGTTGTCCACTAGCACCGCCTACAGTAGTGACAATTATCTGGCCTGCTTCTGTTCCATTACCTCTAACAACAGAAGGTTCCATATCCTGCACGGAAATAAAATACCAATTATGAATATACTTGTTCCAGCTTATTTAATACGAGTAACAAAGAAAAAAGGGTGCATTGTCTTAAGCGTGTTAGAAACAATATTGTCATCACACCTTCAGTCTGTTCTGATCATCAGACTTGTCATCATTGATTTTCATTTCATGCATTTCTTTCGGGAGCTCATCATATCCTGACCGTGCAGGTCTTGGTTCCATAGATGAGGTACCAGTGGAGATAACTTCTTCCTGAGATGTAGAAACAGCAAAGCCTTGTTCTTCAACCTCAGAATCACCATCACTCCTTTGATTAGCATCTTGTTCAACTTTAACTCTCTTTAAGCTTGAATCCCCTCCCTATTGAATTAATATTTTCTTTAAATCAATATTAATAGGGGAAAAATGGAGGGGTTTAACTGCTCGCAACCCTTTATCAATCCCATATAGTAAGGGTAGAGATAGCTAATCTAAAATCACACATATACATCCAAATTCAAGTAAAAATTTAACTTAAAACCAACATGCATGACAGACAAAAAAACACTGAAAGCATATAGCCGCAAATTTTCCTCACTCAAGCTAGGATTTCCATCAAGACTGGATCTTTGGAACCACCATGTTCTATTGGCATCAAAATAAGGTGCACAATGACATAGTATGTTCATGGAAAGAGAGGGGAGGGGGTGCAAAAGAATTGTGGAAGGAAATTTACTGGATCTGATACTGAAGAGCGACCGGATGCAACGCTCTTGAGACGACGCATTACATTCATTTTCAGATGCCCTTTCCCCCTTCTCTTTCAAGGTTCAGACTTCCCCTATCGTCCTCTTCAATGAAGCTTCAAGAAGAGAGAAGAAGAGAGACATGCAAAATTAATGTGTTTTGTTTCTGTCCCTCCTCTTCTCGTCTCGTTGTAATAACATCCCAGAGAAAGAAGAGAGAAGAAGAGAGAATTTAATCAGGCAAATCCCTCTCACATTTCGTCTTTTTCTCCTTTTCTCTGTCCTCAAATTCAAATCCCAGAAACATAAAGAAATGTCTGGTCAAATGTATGACTGTGAGGCCAATCATTCCTACTTACCACATGTTGTACTTTCAGTCAAACATGGATCGTGAACCGTCGGTTACTGATCGTATGATTGGACAACGATTGATTCAACGTACATTAAATTCAATGCCCGTAATAATAATAATAATAATAATAATAATAATAATAATAATAATAATAATAATAATACTCCCCCGTCCCTATTATATCTTCCAAATAGGTTTGACACAGAATTTAAGATAGTGTGTATTGTGTGATGGAGAGTTGTGCAGAGGAGAGAGAAATGTGTAAGAATTGCTGTGAACCACAAATTCTGGCCAAAAAGAGAAAGTGGAAGTTTTAATTGGGGCGGACGAAAAAGGAAAGTTGGAAGTTTATTTAGGGACGGAGGAAGTAATAAGGAATAATAAGGGGAAAATAATAAAAATACCTTAAAGTTTAAGGATTGTGAGGTAAGCACCCCAAACTTACATATCTAATTTAAATACTCCCTCCGTTTCCAAAAGAAAGTCACAGTTTGACTTCACGATTATTAAGGAAATAAATTGACTTTACTGTAGAAAACACTGTTTAGACACTGTGTGACACTGTTTGGACACTGTTTGACACTGTTTCGCACTGTTGGGCACTGTTTGGATGTAGATTTCTTTGCCAAATAAGGAAATAAGGGAAGTGTGACTTTGTTTTTGAAACATCCCAAAAAGAAAAGTGTGAGTTTCTTTTAGAAACGGAGGGAGTATCTCAAATTTTTTACCCCCAAAAGTTATTTTTGCACCATGGTCATGTATTTATTCTTTCAAAAATGCTAATTTTTTGTGTTAATTTCATAATTTAAAATATTTTAGCATTCCTGAAGACACAATCAATATTTTAAACTTCCGTTGTAAAATTAGAGGAATCAGATTTACTAGGTGAAAACTCTATATATGGGCTTCTGGTAAAGCCCATATAGAGGAATCAGATTTACTCCGGACATAAAACGAGTCCGGAGGCACTCCCAAACCCGAGCCGAGACCTTGAGGTCATGAACTTCCATGAGAATATCTCGGGACAAGGTAGCAAAGATCCATGAACGGACAGTTTGGTCAATTTTGACCCAATTATGATATTTCGGGTTAGGAGTTTCTCAGCCAAAATTATCATGAATAAAGGGCGGTGGAACCAAAATGGACCCATCTAGAATCCCAAAAAGATTATGGGAAACGAGAAAGGATTCGAATTGAGTTCGCCATGGGAGAAAATCCTCAACGGCATTCAAGCGGGTGGTTACAATATTGGTCACATTAGGTGTAGAAAACGTTAAATGTGAAGCCAAAGAAGCCAAAAGAGACGGATTATTATTGGAACCTGGCTGTGAAGTAAGTAGTGAAGGCTGAAGAGAGAAACCACCAGGTTGACTGGATACGTTTGAAGAAGGCGCTGCATGTGGTGTTGTTGTGGTAGAAAAAGTGACAACGGCGGACGTAGCAAATTGTGCAGCCGAATAAGGCGCTACATAACCAGTTGTAGGAGGATTCCAATTGAACGGTTCCGGCATATTAAACAACCGAGACGAGCCCAACGAAGGCGGAATGTTGAATCTCGGCTGACGAGAAACCGAAGATGATGCCGGGGAAGAGGCCGACACGGGCGAGGGCTGCACCGGAGATGAGATGGGCGCCATAGTTGTCATGCTTGAAGCCGAAGAAAAGGCAGGCGCGCTGGAGGCTGCTGCTGCGGCAGAAGAAGAAGAAGAAGATGCCATTGATAAGGCACAGTGAAGGTGACGTGCGTCTAGTGTATCGAGAGAAGAAATAGAGAGACCAAAGCATCTGATACCATATGAAACTAATAATTGGAAATAATGGCTCACCCATAAAGGGTGTCCTCTCGGGTATATATAATAGATGAATAATAGTCAAAATACAAATATGTCCTCTACTATATATTATTAGTAATAGAATTATACTAGGACTACTCTTGTATTTTACATTAAACTCTACTAGTATAAATATATCTGTCAGGGCTCCTTAGAGAGCATCCTGTTCCATTATTCTCACAAAATCGACTACAGTAATAACACAATCGATCTTCTGATTGAAGCAAATCAACTTCAATGCTAACAAGCCAACCTTTAAGATTGCTTCCTCTGCATTGGATAACACAAAACAATTCAGCTTAGCCAGGAGGCCAAAGGAGATTTAGGTTGAAACGGCTCACACTCAGAGGTGATCAAATTTGAGTGCTCCAAGGTTCGTCCTCCATTGGAGCTGACCTCGATACGTACTAACATGTGTAACTAATCAATTGATCACCGACCTCGATGACTCATTTTATTTTAAAAGGGAAAAAAATTGCATGGAGAAAGGGAACTTTCCAGTTTTGATGAGTTAATTTTTCTAGGTGCAAATGAGTTTAGAGAGTAAAGGAAAATTCAGATGGTTCTTTGAACAAGTATAAGGCAAGGTTGGTAGCCAAAGGATTTCATCAACAGTTTGGCTTTGATTTTGGAGAAACCTTTTCTCTAGTGGTTAAGCCCATCACTATCATAACTCTTCTCACTATTGCTGTATCTAATCACTAGCCTATCCAGCAGCTTGATGTAAACAATGCTTTCCTAAATGGAGTACTTGATGAAGAGGTATACATGGTCCAACCCTCAGGCTTTCAGGTTCAAGATACTTCATTGGTCTGTAAGCTTCATAAGTCACTATATGGTTTCTTAAACTTACTTTTGTCCTATATGCTGTTGGCTTCAAGCAAAACAAGTGTGATCCATCTTTGCTCATCTTTCACTCATCTGGAGTTCAGATATATATATATATATATATAGACAAATCTTCATGTCAGACCGGCCTGACGAGATGCTCCGTCCGGCCGAGCCCGTTTGGGCACCTTCTGGGTCGAATTTTTTGATGAAATGTTTGGAGCATGTTTCTCATCAAGTCTAGTTTGTCCATACCAAATTTCAGCTCAAAATTCGATCGGGAAGGCATTCAAATCATTTTTTAAAGTTGGCTGCAGTTTTATATGTATACTTTGACGCAGTCAACTTCAAAAAATGATTTGAATGTCTTCCAGATCGAATTTTGAGCTGAAATTTGGTATGGACAAACTAGACTTGATGAGGAACATGTTAAAAAAATTTCATCAAAAAATTCCACCGGTAAGATTCCCAAACGGGCTCGGCCGGACGGAGCATCCCGTCAGGCCGGCCTGACAAGAAGACCTCTCTCTCTCTCTCTCTCTATATATATATATATATATATATATATATATATATATATATAATATACTGATATATGTTGATGATATCCTAGTTATTGGGAATAACTCTAATGCTATTGCTCAGCTCATTCAGAAACTGGACACATCTTTTTCTCTTAAACGTCTTGGAGATTTAGATTTCTTCTTGGGGACAGAAGCACACAAACTTCCTGATGGAAGTCTTTATCTTTCTCAGGCCAATTATATAAGAGATTTTCTTAATCAAACTGGTATGCTTAAATCCAAAGGAACTAAAACCCCTATGATTAGGACTGGACTCGGTTCGGGCCGGGCCCGGTTCGGGCCTTGAACCGGCCGGGCCTCGGTTCACCAAAAGGAGGGCCCGGACCCGAACCGGCGGTGACCAGTTCACCCGCCCTATTTTTTTTTTTTTGATTTTTTGGCTTCTCTTATTTAACCCCCTACCCCTCCCCCTCAACCCCAAACCACCCCAAACCACCTCAAATTGTCCAAAATACCTAATCCAACCCAAAAATTAAAAAAATTTCAAAAAAAAAATAAAAAAAAATTAATTCCGGCCCGGACCGGGCCCGAACCGGCCGGGCCGGTTCACCAAATGGAGGGCCCGGGCCCGGAACCGGTATTCACCGGGCCGGTTCGACCCGAACCGCCGGTGGACCGGGCCACCGGGCCGGGCCGGTTGCTACAGTGGGCGGGCCGGGCCGGGCCGGTTCCGAGTCGGGCCGCCCGGCCCGAGTCCAGCCCTACCTATGATTAGCACTTGTAAACTCACCAATGAAGGCAACAACTACCTATCTATTCCTTCATTCTATAGGTCCATAGTTGGAGTTCTGCAATATGCCACTCTAACTAGACCTGAAATCTGCTTTGCTGTTAATAAAGATTGCCAATTTATGGCCACGCCACAGCAGGAACACTGGCAGGTAGTAAAGCATATCCTACGCTATCTTCCTGGCACTATCACTCATGGGCTTATCATCAAACCTCTACCCTTGTCAACTATGCCTCTTCCTCTTTCAGCATTTTGTGATGCTGACTCGACATCAGATCCTACAGACAGAAAGTCAACATCAGGCTCTTGTATCTTTCTTGGATCCAACATTATTTCTTGGTGGTCCAGAATACAATTTCTGATAACTTTGAGGGGGGAATGTTAGATAGACTAATAGATAGTCAGTTAAGTTTGTTAGTCAGTTCAGAACTATTGTTGACTTTGTTTAGTTAGTTTGAGCTGAGCTTTGTATGACCTGGCCAGTCTATAAATACTTTGTATCTTCTTTCACAATCAATAAGATCGGTCTACAATTCTCTTTTATAATTTCTAATAGAGCTGATGATGCTCAAGGGTAAGCTGGCAAGTCACCGTAAAACATGTCTCTAACAGGGTGTTACTGACTGAAACATGGTGGTGCTGATGAGGCAATGATCGAATCAATGTAAATCGAGGCCGTAGTGACTTGTGGCAATTGAGCATTGAGGCGTCGGGATCACTGGGCAGTAGAGTCACCGGTGACAGTCCATGCTGCGGTGATCAATGGAGTATAGAAATCATACTAGTCTCTTTTTTAGAATATTTTAGTACTTCCTCCGTCCCACTTAAAGGTTGTCATTTTTCTTTGTTGGTCGTCCCAACTAAAGATTCTTATTTCCGAAAATAATTAATAATCTTAAATGACAATTTAATTATTAGAAAAATGTTAGAAAAATTAAATCCAATTTTCAAAAGTCTATGAAAAATTAAAAGAAAAATACTAAGATGTCTACTGCATATCATCCTCAAACTGATGGACACAAACTGAGAGTGTTAACAAGTGCCTAAAAACCTACCTAAGATGTATGATGGGGGAACAACCAAAAGAATGGGCAAAATGGATTCCTCAAGTTGAATGGTGGTATAACACCAACTATCATTCATCCATCAAAAGTACCCCTTTGCAGTCTCCTGCCATTCACTTCCCTTATGCTTTGGGTACTAGCTCGATTGAAGCTGTTGACAGGAGCTTAAAGAAATTTTAGTGGGAGATTGGGTCTATGTGAAACTGCAGCCTTACAGGTAGTCATGGACTCAACCGGTTCCGGGCCCGGGTCGGGCCTAAGCCCGGCCGGGCCAAAAAAAATTCTGTTAGGCCTAGGACCGGCGCGGAAGTAGACCGGTGCCGGCCCGAGCCAGGTCGGGTCCGGTTATTAGTTTTTTTTTTTGTTTTCTTGATTATTTTTGTCCCCTACCCCCATCCCACAAACCCATCTGAAAGACCCATTCCAGCCCATTTAAACCCAACCCAAAGCTCCAAACCAACAAAAAACAAGAAAAAAATTCGGGTGGCCCGAATCGGACCCGGAACCAGACGGGCCGGTTCCCATTTACCTAAGCCCGTACCCGACCCTATTACCAACCCCAAACCAGGCTTAGACCCGGAACCGGTACCCGGTTCCCGGTTCCCGGGCCGGGCCGGCACAGTACCTAAATTTTTTGGTCCATTTGAAGTGGTTAAGAGGGTAGGACAGGTGGCTTACAGGCTGAAGCTACTTAGCTACCCATTGAGGCCAGAATCCACCCAGTATTCCACATTTCTCAACTTAAGAAGCATATGGGTGAGTTACCTGATTAGTCAGTTTTTTACCTCAACTGGGTGATCAAGGAGTTATAAGGGTAGAACTATGGCTGTGCTTGAAAGGAAAATTGTAATAAGGGGGAACATGGCTGCAATATAATGGCTGATCCAATGGACCAACGGGGAGAATGAAGATGCTAAGTGGGAATCTTATGATGAACTGTCTAAAAGATTCCCAGAGTTTGTGACAAGGCAGCCGTCAGCTTGAGGACAAGCTGAACCTATGGGGGGTGGATTGTTACGCACCAGCTCACTATTGCCACCTTAGTGAACACATCAGCTTACATGTGGGAAGCTTAGCATGCCTTGTTATAACAGATTAGTTTTAACTGTTGTAATACAAACGAATCTGTTAGAACCGTTGGTCGATATGTTGTATATATATATATACATATGCCTGTGATAAGAACGTCAGCTAATAATCATTTTCTGAATTGATCTTCCCTATCTCAATCACTCCTCCATTTTACGTTCGAATTCTTTTCTTTACAGTAAGAATTCCTACTTTCTTCCTTGTTCTTCACTTTTTGAGCCTAGAACATTACACAACACTGCAACTATACCAGAGCTTATACTCCACAGATGCAGCGACTATAGATGAAGGCAGGAGAAGCACCCTAATTCCAGACATGCTATTTTTCCAAACCTAACTAAAAAATGTTAAAAACACATCATCTTATACATTAACGTTTTTGGCATTGCTCTCTCAGGCTGCAATGCCATGAATAAAATCCATGCCCACAGACACATATACTTAACAAAAACAGAGGATGCGATTGAAAATGCCAGCAAGAATGAAAAAAGTAGTATACAATATAAATCACATACGTTGGGGCTGTTTTAAGTGTTATATCCTCTGCATTTCTTTTTCCCTTCAAGTTGTGAAATAACAAATTCGCACAAAATGTGCATAGGCATTTGAAACCACGCTGGGACTTGGCTTTAACCAAGGAAACAGGATCGATCAGTGGGAGGTCGAAGATAGATTCCAAGACTTCTTTGTTGCTACCAGAATTTTATCTCTCCCATGGGAGTCAGGTTCTTTGTTGTAAATAGTTGTAGTCCATCTTACAGCATGAGCTATCCGATTGCTTCTGTCAATCACTTCAGGCAAATCTCGAATTATTACCATTCCTTCTGGCCTCAGCATTCTATCAATTTCCACCATCAAATCCACAAGGTTGCACCTGGAAATATATCATATTAGTATATGTAGGGATCATATAATGGACTAAAATGGAATATATTTAGTAATTATAGGGATCGAGTAGGGCTTAATATACACTATATTCTCACATAGAAGGTATACCACTTATGTTTGTCCCAAAAATAGAAGGTATACCCTTGTTAAGAAGAAAAATTAATGTAATAGGTACCTTGGCCAGATATTATTTTAAATTTCAAGACCCTACTCTCTCTCTCTTTACCATCACTAAAAAAAACTACACATGAAACACCAAAAAAGACAAAAAAAACACCTGCAGAAACAGTCAAAAACTGTTACTTTAACAGCAAGTCACAGTTCCTTCATCTGCTTTAGAAATATCATCAACAATGAATGGCAAAAATAGAATTCTACTTAAATGAATAAAACAATGCATACCTGCTCTTGCCTGAACCAGGATCCTTTGTAAGAGATTCAATAGCAGCTACATGAATCAGATCATATGACCGAGGGTATGTCGAGAAAGGCTCACACCTAAACATTAATAAAAGAAAACATAATCGACTATTAATTTTCAAGCCAATATATCATTTGCTTTTATGGTCTGTTTGGAGTATTTTTTTATTTGAGGATGGCGTGGACTATTTTGGTAAGCTTAAGTAAAAATTTCATCTCCAAATTATTGTTGGAGAAATTCTAAAATAGAAATTGTGAATTGAAAGCATAGTAGCATCAAGACAAAATAAACAATGAAGTCAGGAAGACACTTTAATTGTACATAACAATGAAGTGTCTAACTGCAGGTAGATTAGTCTGGAACTTTGTACATAAGAAGCCAGGGAACTCAACTAAAGATAACCACAATGTATTAGAGTAGGCGATATGAAAGGGTTGAATCACATAAGGCTCCAGGACGGGCTGAATCAAGTTTTCGCACTACTTCAGTAGGTCTAAGAAAGATAGAAGGTTGTTCAATGTATACTTTAATACTTCTTTTAGAGCACCGAGGATATCAGTTTTGTATAAAGTTACAATGGTCATTGGTGATTGGTGAATGGCAGCCATAAACAGAAAAATGCGGACAAATGCTGTATTAGCTGCACGTGGGAAAGTCACATTATAATCATTTCCAAATGCTTCAAGTAAACCATCTTCCACAAGAAGAGCATTACATTTTTCTATCCATTGGG